CGTCAATAGTTTACGAGTAATTAACAAAAAACGAAAAAACAGTTTTTTGTAAATTACTCGTTAACTATTGACGCTAGCGAAAAACTTTTACATGGAAATTGTAGATCTCGTCGTCCTCTACAAGAAGGTTAAAAGCAATTTTTCCGTACGTCCAACGGTTTGGGAGTTATTGGCCAAAAACGAAAATTTGGAAGAAATTGAAGGGGTACCCCTTGGAAAAATCTCGGAAAAATCGAAAATTTTTTTTTTGGTGTTTATTATTAGCAATGTTCTTCCGAAGTCTGATTTCTTTTTAAAAAATGCGTTTCTAGAGTGCATAAACTTTTGGGATTCACTGTATAGCCAATACATCCTTGAGCACATTCGTACAAAATTCTTCACTGCGCTTCGTCTTCAGGTCACTTGAACCAAGAGATCATGGTTCACAGTAGTCGAGCACTGATAGAGACGTCGACCATTCTGCACGCCTTGCCTCGTAACGTCCTGTCGAACTTAATGGGTAAAACACATACGTATAAGTAGAATTATCATGATTGCGTATTCGCGCGGCGAAGCATAATCTTAAACAGCCGGACTGTGTTCACCTTGTGTCACGTCTTTCTGTTCTCACGATCGTGAACTTAGGAGTTTTGAAGCCGGTCATTTACCTCAGCGAAGATGTCATATATAAGAGCGAGACTCTGGCCGACTGTATGTTCTTCGTGGTCAGCGGTACGGTCGCGTTGATCACGTTCAACGGAAAAGAGGTGCGAAACGCGTTGACGTTTCATCGATCGACGTGTCGATCGATGATCCTCATCGTGGGAGGAGACCCATGATTTTCTTTCTCTTCAAAGATATGTCACGAAAAAGATGGCGGGTATTTCGGCGAGGCGGCGTTGATATATCCCGATAAAAGGAGACTGGAATCGGTGATCACGTTGGAAGTGTGCGAATTGTTGCGGTTGAACCGACGCGACTTCAAACGCATGTTCACTCACAAGTGCACCTTCTACGAGAGATTGGAGAGAGCCGCCGAAATACGACGTGACCAGATAAACAAACTGACCATCGCCGTTATCGAAGCCGAAATGACGCAGATGTACAACACGGAAACCGACGTGGAAGACGAAAATGGGAAGGATTACGAGCGCGAGAGAACCGACAAAGAGACCGACCACGAGAAGAGCGAAGAAAACGACGAAGATGCCGAACCTAGCGATGATGCCGCGGCTGCTGAGGAGAAGAACGATTTCGAAGGAAACGACGAAGGCCGTAAAGAGGACGGAGAAAACGGAGAAGGTTGACTACGTTCCATCGTGTTGAATGGCTCGGATCCGGTGACAGTTCCTTCGTGGTTCTTTCATAGTTCTTTCATAGTTCTTTCTGCGGACTTTGTGCGCGTTGTAAAAATACGCGACAAAAAGTATGAATTCGAAGAGAAACGATTTTTAATAATTCTTACCTAATAACATAATCGTCATCCGTTACGTTGCACCTGGGCGAATGACGAAAGAACGATACGCGTTCGTGTATTCATCGTGGAATACGCTCTTCCGAGTTTCGCCGCTTACTTTGTTCGACGCGGGCGTAAAGCGAGCGAGCGAGTACTCTTACCGCCTCGCGCCGCCCCGGAGAACGCGGGAAGGACTTCGACGAGTAGGACTACCGCGCGCGTATCCAGCCACTTTCATTGTCATCCGATCTGCCTTACACCGAAGGTGCGGAGAACTGGCCGTATCGTTTCGCATCCGAGTCGAAAGCCATACGTCCGTCGAACACAGAAAACGGTACCAAGCGGTTGGTGCGCTTTTCGTTATTTTCTCGTGAGTATCGCATCTTCCAATAATCCTTCATCTCGCACCTATCGGACTCATCTCACGGTTGCAAATTGAACGAACGAACAGAACGTGATCACTCGAGAGCGACGAAGGAGACTTCGTTCGTTTGTTTAAAGAGATGAAAAGGTATACACGTACGAGATCATAAAATTCATTGTCCCCGATCCACTTTGCTCGTCGGATCCAGTGAACAACCGGTACGAGCGGTAGAATTATCTATCGACACGAATATATTTTACGAACAGAATCGTAGTCATTTTATCGACATATCTCTATACGTATCACGCATAAACGTTACAGGACGATCGACAATTCGTACCGTCTCTCTTTCGTTGTACCAAATCAAACGATCGGAGTGAAACCGCTCGCACACTTTCCATTAGTTCACTCGTCTCTGGCACTGTCGGATATCTCGCGCCAAATCGAACGCTCCTACGCTCCTTCCCGCGATCGACGTTACACGTAACATGTTTAACGTTTAAAAATCGCGTGACCAGATCAAGTCACCCCGCCGGCGAAAGAATCTTTCGACGAAGAAGCACTTGTACGAGAACGCTTACCCGTGAGACGTGTAAAGTCAGCCTACGTGTCGTTTCTTAAATTCTCGTTAAAAACGTTGCGTTCTGTGTGAAAATCCGCGGTCTAGCAATGAGCCGAAGATGCGATGTCAGAACGCGAAAAAACAATGCGTTTTCCCAGCAGGGGAAATTTCCCGGTTTCCTAATCGATCGACGACGAGAGAGCGTAGTGCACGCGATACATACATAGCGTTGCCAGGAGTTTCGTTCGGATCCGGTCACGGTTCACGAAAGTACCGGTCGTCGAAAGAAGCCGGAGTGACCGTTCGACGAAACTGACGTCCGTCGAGAGAAGATGCGACAAAAGATACTCGTCCAATTTCTTTCCCTACGCGTAAAGACGGTGGGAAGGCCGACGCGTACACGGGTACGCGGTTCATCTCCGCCGGACTGTACGTAACAGACGACGCGCAACGAGTAAGCCTTTCGACGAGAGTCGCGAGTACGAAATCTCATTGTTCGTACAGAGAGATCCGTGCACGAATCTCGGCCGACGAGCACGGCGAGAAACGAGGCCAACACCGGTATTCTTTTATGCCGATGCGTAATTCCGATCCGATCTTCGCGGCGCCGCTACTTTTGCGCTCCGTTAAACGGCTTCGAAACGTTTCGTCGATTTTGTAATAGCTTATCGACGACGTGCTACGGGTTGCAGACACAGACATTTCTCACGTGTCACCGGTTCCAAATTATCAGCACGATGCGCGTGTATGTGCGGTGACCGAAATGCGGACGATCCAGAACAACCGAATTCGACGCGTAGAACTCCAAGTCCGACGATCGATATCGATCGACGTCGAATGGATCGTCGGGCGAAAAACAATTTTTGAAAGAGCAGATCGAAGGTCGGACGATGTTCATGACCGCTTCGATCTCTCTTCGCGAACTTTCGTTCTCTCTGTGCATGAATAAAACATTGTCCCGATCGGACGGTAATGATCGAGAACGATGCGAGACGTCGCGTCGTCGACGAGAGAGATGGATACGTAGAATTAACGATGATCGAGGAACACAATGCAGCTGAGCTCGCGTTCGAATCGTGCTTCCTGGTTTCACTCGATTGTCGTTGAAAACAGTACGGAAGGAAGACGCGTTCATGCTCTGTTTCAGCGGCTCGAATTCACTGAGTTTCTACAGGATACAAGTACTCCGGTCTTCGGGAGATATTTTAATGATCCCGGCACACGTACGTAGGACGCTTCTTGCTTTCCACGAGCCTCGAAAGTGTCGTCGCGGTTGCGTTTCGTCACGGGATCGTAGAGAACGATGACCTGGCTAGCCGTTTCTTCCTCACTCGTGAGAGCTGCATTATTTTCCAAACAGAAATTCTGCCTACGTAAATGCGCGTGTAACGATACATTTTGAATCTCGGTAGATGCGATTAAGATATCTCGAGAATCTTCGCGCGGCCGACGATGGGACGCAAGGTTTAATCGATCACTGTAAAATCGTTTGCAATTTAGAGAGAGCAATGTCACTTTTCGAGATATCGGCTGTACTGTTGGTGGCTCTCTCGACGATCGCTCACGCTCGCACGGACATCGGTAACTGGGAAGCTTGTGGTGGACGATTGGAGCGGGCCCTGGACGCGCTCCACAGGGAATCGAGTAGGAGGAACAGACTGGAAGAACAGGAGGCAGGCACGTTCTATCAGCAGGAGCTCCGTTCAGCGCCACTTGACATGTCGGTCTCGCGGATCGCTGTTAAAGTACGATTTATTATACGTATGCATGACACTGCGTGGTCTATCGACGATTTTCTCACGTTTCACACGTTGTTCCACTGACTCATCGAGCGAATTCGAGTCATGTGCAAGCATTAAGAAGGCGATTCTCTTTGCCTCGATCTTTTTCCGGTGGTTCGTCGAACTCCTCAGCTTCCGCAGGGGGCCAGAGACACCGGGAGTCCATGGGCAAGGGTCGAGAAATGCGTTTACGAGCCCGGGAACGACTCGCTTCGAACTCGAGTGACCTTCAACGATCTGTCCGTCTCCGGTCTGATCTCGTTGATGCCACGGGATCATCAGCCACCGATACCAGCCGAGTCCTGTAGGATGACGTTGAGACTGAGACGTGCGGGGGTCGATTTCCTCACAAGTCCGATCGCTCGCGGCAGGGGACAGATGCGCATCAGAACGGAGTCCAGTTTTCTGGAGCCGAGGTTCGCCTCCATTTACGCTTACGGTTGCCACCCGACTCGCTCGGACAAACAGATCAAGAGACAGGATAAATGGCCACCGTTTTATCCACCTCGGGACGAGGTAATTCTTCTCTAATCAGGAACACGATCGCCCACCGCTCTTCATCGCCTTTCCTCTGCCACTTTTATTTCCGAGCCTCATCTTCTAAATTCTAAATCTTCTAATTCTTTCCCTGCCTAGATCTTGCGTACCTGAGTGCGTGGAAGATTGTGCGATATAAAATTAGCGCGTAGGAGCTCGCGAGACCATTTACTGAAATCTGATGTGTGTTCAGTACACGGTGTTGCCGGTGACATCCGACGGACGGTACGAAGCAGCGGAACCGCGGCAGCTCGCGGGCATTTCGAAGGAAGTGGACGTCGTAATTCCGGACGAAAGTCATCAGCCCCGGAGTTTCCCGAGCTCTTCGACCGCGAAGCTGGGCATTTGGCGGAAAAACGTTTGGCTGACGAAGAACGCGCCACGGGAGAAGCGAGACATCGTCGAGTTCGACGTCGACAGCTTTCTAGGATCTTTCGAAAACGGCCGGGAAGTCGACGATCGTCCGGCGAGGGTCGCGAGATCGCCGGAAACGATCTCGTCGCAAAATCTCGCTATCGCGTCGACGAGTAAGCAGGCAAACGGGAACGGAACCGGGAATTGTACCGAGCGACACGGGCAAAACGGCTTGAACAACGTGACGAACATCGTTCTAGGCGACTCGAACAATGGCGAGGTGAAGGTGAACGTTAAGAGGGACTATCCGATAACGGAGAACGACGCACCGAGAGAGATGAGACGTCTGTACGTCGATGAAACGTTGGACAACGTTTTTCCCGTCGACACGGACAGCGACGGTCGAAGCTGGCAGTCGAAGGAACACATCGCCAAAGAGATGGAAGATGTGTTTTTACGAGGCGCCAGCCAAGCCTTGACCCGATACATCGAGAGGCAGCTGCATCCTGCTATCAAAGAGACTCTGATGATCTCGATGGGATACACGATAAGTTACGGATAACGGATGCCTCGTCTTCTCGTCCCGGTCGTTCGCTCGAGATAGATGATTAGGTTCATGAATAAATTACTTTACAAGGTTTAAATGTACGAAACGCTGTCGAGTAAAAAGTTTATTTGTACGTATGTACACGGCTGGTGTACAAATTCTAAATAATATGTAATTGCGATTCATTGTGAGTACTCGCCGACGGCGCGTAGACAGAAGTAGGCGAACGATCGAAACAGAGGAAGACTCGAATTGAGAAGTCGTCGATCGAAATGTCTCGATTCAATTTCTCAGTACGAAGTACTCGGTGCTTCTTCTTCATATACCTGTTCGAGCGTAATGTACAGAAAATAACACTGTCGAAAGAAGAAAGTAACAGAAGAAACTTGCAACGGACGAGGCGGAGGAGTTGGGTTTACGTGTCGAACTCTCTCCTTTATCGTGATTACTCATCGAATTTCCCAAGACCTCGTTGATCGATCTCATTAAGGGGAAGGTGCCGTGTGCAGAGTCCAGAGAGTCGCTTAAAGACGCGCATTTACCACTGAAATCGTCGGTATCGATACTCCAAATCATTACACCGGACAAGTTCAAACTTATCGCGCGTTCAACCTGGAAGTAAAGGGAACAAATGAGTATGGATCGAACTGGAATCGCGGAACGGTCTTATCGTGATCGTCCAGAGCGAACCTTTGCTCTGAGACTCTTCGGATCGTCGTACACGATGACTTTGTCATCATTGACGGCGTAAGCTGTCTCGCTGATCTCGTCCCATCCGGTTCTCCACTTGCTCGGATTATTCACTAGCTCCTCGCAAATCTGAAATCCATGCGTACCGTGTCGCGTATCGTTACAACGATAAAATTCCCCGACGCTGCCGTTGAATCTGATCATACGTATACAAATCGAAGCGTACTTCGTTGTACCCCATAAAACCGTTCTGAGCAGTGTACGGTCCCTTGAACCCGTCAGTTCCGGCAGGCTGGCCGATAGGTGTTTCTCGAGACGAGTTCAGCTTCTTCGACAGTACGTACGTTCTTCCGTACATGGGAAGACCAAGCACCGTTTTATTGGGCGGCGCGCCTTTGCTCAACAAGTAGCTCAACGTGTCCATCTGAAAATACGCTGTCCCGTCATCGATACGTCGCGACGCGTTCAACGTTTCGTTTACTCGCTCATCAATGCATTTACCACACTGCTGCCGTCGTCGCTCTTCAACGGCGCGTTTGGCAACACTTTATTGTCCCATGTACCGTGATAGTCGTACGCCATCACGTGAACGAGATCGAGGTACTTGCAGAGCTCGGGTAAATCGTACGCAGCGTCGATCGTTTGTCTGTTGGAACTTATGGCCGCTGTTAAGAGGTAGTTCGGTCTTCTAAACGCTTCCTTCAATTCCTGTCGGAACATCGTATCGTTTTAAGGATGTATTGGCTATACAGTCAATCCCAAAAGTTTATGTACCTTAGAAAAACGCATTTCCTATAATTAAAAAGAAATCAGACGTCGGAAGAATAATGCTAATAATAAATAGCTACGTGTTAAAA